GCGCCGACATAGCACTATCAAAGTACTGGGAAGTTCCTTCCCTTTCCACAAGTAAGGGTGCTCGTTGGCCGTTGGGTGCTAGCCCTTCTTATTGGTGATTCTGCTCCCTTTCTCGAGTTAATGCCTTTCAAAATACGTCCATCATCTAGTCTTTTAGCTCTTGTATTTACTGTTGCACAAACTCATAGTGCATTCCATATTTCTAGTGTTTATGTTCTGGTTTTCTTCTTCATGTGCTACTCCGCTTCTTTTCTGTGGCATGGTTCACGCTCACCGTACATTTAGAATTTAGAATTTGAAAATGTTCCTGAATCACACCTCAAGTGCTACAGTGTAAGATAAGAGAGAGAGAGGGAGAGACAGAGAAAAGAATGCAAAATAAATGAACAGTATTAAGCCTTGTTGATTAGCTCTTTCTTATAAAATGATCCCCTATTTAGAAAAGAATGAAAACAATATGTGAAGTTACATGTTTTCTTATGCTTTAATGGGGGCATTCAAGATATTTTAGGTATTTTAAATGTATGGGCACATGACTTTTCTACTCTCTTGCTAAATGTTGAACTTGGTGGGCCTTGATTTGACAAAACCTACATGTTCAACTATGTTGCATCAGGGTTGTCGGTCAGCAAGACTGGCTCAATCGACTTGGCTCTACCAATCAGTTTTTCCAGTTTGATTATTGATAGTTCGTCCCTAGATGAGAAGCCTCTATTAGCATAACGATATTAGATTATCGGGTAGAGGATGAATCTCCACAATCTGATAGATAGCTCATTAATTGACAAAGGGGTGTCTTTTGGGATGTTCATTGGTTATATTATTACCGATCCTTGGCCTTTAATAAGAAACTTCAGAATTGTCTATTAGACACTTGGTGATCTTGAATCATTTTCCTTGATTTGGATTGCGATGATAGTCAAGTTGATGCCTTTGCTTGGCTCGATCATGCTTAATCCTTTGTTTGGGTGGTTGCATTTGATCAAGTGCGTCCCTTGATCATCTGTCTGTGTGCCCTCCTAAAGTCTACCTTGATTTCTCCTATACCGTTAGATCTCCTCTAGATTCATGCTGGCACATTTCTGATGTACATATTTAAACAAAAAATGAGTAACATTTTAAAGTCAGCTTCGATGTATTATTATGTTATTGCCAATCAAGCCAAATCAAACAAATGTACTAACTGATTATGCAAGATCAAAAAAAAAAAAAAAACCAACATAAAATTAGTTAAAAGGTTTTGATCTAATTATTTTATTTTAAAATGAGTTTATTATAGTTGATTAATTTTATATTATACTTGTTTCAAGTAAAAAAACCAACAAATTTATTCAAATGAATCATGATGGCCAACTTGACTTTTCTTTAGAGGTGTTAAAAATTGACCTGATATGTTAACTCGACTCAAACTTAACTCGAAAAAGCCAGATTTGTCTCCAAAATTCCAACACATTTAATTTTTCAAAGCCGAGTTCTAGTTGACATGTAAACCTAAAATTGACCCACCAACTCAAAATTGATCATTGTGACACTTCAACTCGATTTTGACTCAAATAATCATTATGCATAAATTAATCGAATTTTGTGACTCTAGATTGGGTCAGTCAATTCATCTTATACTTCTTAACATATTTATTATTTAAGTCAGTTTGGGTGAAGAAGTTTTGGGTCAGATAAATTTCAGGCTAGACTCGAACCCTACTCGTGAACTCAATTTAACACCTATTTTTTTTAAGCTGACTAAAGTAGCGTGGGACTACGCTACAAATTTTGATAAATATGCCGCATGCTCAAGCCTAAGAAATTTATATATTTAACATTTATATTTATATTATTTGGTGCTATATATTTCGAATCCACCACATGCAATTGAATGAACAGAATCACTTCCAAGTATAAGGGCAAAAGATTACCATATTGCTACCTACTATATCACATTTAATTTCTAAACTTTGCAATTATTTTAAAGAGGATGAGAGGAAAAAATAAAGCCAAAAAAAATTAAAATATGATAAATTTGCAAGCTAATATGGAGATTAAAAAATAGTATTATCAAAATATTTGCTTCCGCATCCAAGCCGCATATACAATTTCTCTTCTAAATAACATACACACACTAAGTTTATAATGAAATAAAGCCGGAATATCGAGAAAAAATATTGCGTCCGACGTCTAGACGCGGGACGCTGGACGCAAGCTACGTCCGGACAATGAACGTGATACATCAGAAGGGGAAAAAAAAATTTCGGGTGTATCACATCCATTATCTGAACGCAAATTGCGTTAGGACTCCAGATGCAATATTTTCTCGAATATCAGGCCCTTTATCTAGAAAAAAAAGATTAGTTTACCTTAATAACATATATTAGAGAAATATACATTGCTTGAAAATTGATTTCGAGCATGGAATGAAGTCGAGGAACACGAGCCAAAGTTAGTTCTTGCACTTATCTTCTTTAAAATTAAGTTATTCTAATTGGCTTGTTATGTTTGCAAATGTTGTAGCGTATAATAGAAAGATTAGTTAGATAATTTGAGAGTAATTTTATTGTAATATTAAATATTAAAGATAACGAGACTGTCCTTAATAAATTTTTACTGATTAGTATATGAATGTATTGCTGAAGATCACTACAAATGTTAATTTTTTTTATTAGAAAATTGTTCTATCATTTTGAAAAACAATATTAATAACACTTTTAATTTTCAATTTGGTGGGACAAACTGACATTAAAAAATAAAAAAAATATTTTTTTTAATTGCTTGATGAGATGATTTGAATTAGATGCAAAAGAGTTGAGTCGAGCTCGAGTCGCTCTCGGTTTGAGCTTGAGCTTGATTAGTTTTATTGTGCTCAAGCTTAAATCTACAAGTTCAGGGCGGCTTGCGAGCCAACTTATTTAATATACAAGATAAATGATATTAATTTTGAATGATTTTATAATAAGTTGACAAATAGAATGAACAATTAGGAGATAAATAATAAAAAATCACCAAATATGCAATAAAAAATATTATTTTCTTAATATTTTTAATATCTTAATGATAAAGTTTTGAAATTTAATATATTTTGAGCATATTTTATGTTAATATTTTTTTAAACGAGCCGGCTCACGAGCTAACGGTTCGAGTTAGGGCTGGCTTGAGCTTGGCTTGTTAGCTCATCGAGCTCAGTTCACGAGTCACTTATTGAGCCGAGCTCGAACCAGCTCACGAGTCTGCTTGACTCAATCACACCCCGAAATTGAATTCAAAAGATCATTAAAGGCATTTTATGGAGTTCAAGCACGATTTTTAATCACAGATTTTGGCACTTTATAGTGATATGTATACGGTCAAATTCAATATTAAGAACTGAAACACTCATGAGTCGTGAGATACAAAAGGAGCAAGTCAATTAGGCTCGAAGCTTTTGTTAAAATGTACTCATTTATAGGATGGGTTTTTTAAATTTTATTCAAACTAGTTTATTCATATGATAAACTTAGAAATTCTTGTATAAGTTTGACAAGCAAGCATAAATTACTACTACACAAACAAGCATTGAGTTGTTAATTGAATGCATTTATTCGCTTACCATCTCATCCACAGGTTATTTGCTAGATAGAAGGTGATCTAATCGTAACAACATCGATCGTAGAAACGGAGTTTTACAATCATATGTGCAAAGTTGATTGAGGTATCGTAAGTAATTTTCCATCTATTTTTACTCCAATAAAGAAAAATACATTTTGAGGTTGGTGCAGAGCTAACAAACCTACAAAGCAATCTGAAGTTGAATTCACTTTGATGCTTAAAATGTTAAATTATCAGCATGCAAAATGAAAGTGTCATAGTTCAAAGTTATCAAAACAAATTTAATTATAGATGTAACCAACCTAGACAAAGGATAAAACAGTATAAACAGAGGAAACTAAAGGAAATATCAAAAGTTCAAGCCTTAAGAATGCTAGATTGGGGGCAGAATTGAAACTCCGCCAAGTGCCTATTAGGGGTGTAAACAAACGGAACACGAATGAACAGAGCTTGTGTTCGTGTTCGGTTCGTTTGAAATTTAATTTGTTTGAAATAAATTCGTGTTCGAAATTATTCGTGACATCACTAATATTAATATATTATTATTATTATTATTATTATTATTATTAATTTATTATATATTATAATTAATAAAATTTAATTTTTTAAAATATCATAAATTATATATATAATTATTTTAAATTATTTTATATTTCAAACAATAACGATTCAAAGACGAATGAACACATCACTGTTCATGTTTGATTCGTTTAACTAACCGAACTAACCGAACGAAAAAATACGAAAAAATTTGTTCACGTTTGTCTCATTTACTTATCGAACAAATCAAACACGAACTCATTGACGAACCAAACACGATCTGTTCGCGAACAAAGAGTTTTTTTTTGACAGCCCTAGTGCCTATAGAGTTACTTTTTAAATGTCAAAAAAAATAAAGCTTATCAGAAGTTGGAGGGAGCCAATTACTTTAAATTGTTCCCACTCCAACTCTAACCAAATAACTTTCAAATCATGCCATCAAACAAATGCCAATCCAAAATTCACCTAATTTATAAATCATTTAAAAATTTCTCAACTCCAGCATTATCAGTATTTGTGAGGACTCGAAAAGAGCAAATCAGCTGCTATGTATAGCTCACATGTATTTAAAAAATAATAAAATATTAAAATTTGTATTCATATTATTTTCAGACTTTAATTTTAAAGATGTGCGTGCATTTCACTCAATCTTTATGTATTTATATATCTAACACCAAAATTTTATTTTATACATGTATAACGCCTTACTTGGGCATAAAAAAGACGTATTTTATTTTTTCAAGTTTAAATAGCAATAATTTTATGTGATATAAATAGGAAAAAAAATAAAATTTAGGTGTTAAAGATATATAAATACATAAGAATTGTGTTGGGCGTATGTAAATGCCCCTGATTTTAAATTCATAAATCGTCAAGATTTGATCTCCTTACAAAGAGGTTTCAGCTGGGGAATGATTGTTTTCTCTGGGAGATGAGAGAGAGAGAGGTAGAGACGAATTGGGTAATTATTGTTACAGCTCTCTCTTTGGTTGTCTTCTTAAATGGAATTTAATTTATTGAGGAAGATGATAGATTTAGCTCTCCTTACTTGTGAATGTTATCATCATTGTAATCTCTGATAGAAAATGGTGAATTATGCGCTTTTTTTTAGCTTTGCCTTCTTACTGTATTTAGCTTTGGCTTCCACTTTTGAAGACTATGCGCGGCTTATCAAACTGAAAACATCGGCTGACTCTATTATCTGTTAGCAAAATGAAATTGTAGCTCTACAGTGATTTGCCATACATCCATAGAAAATCAATGAAAAAAACATGCAGTGATCAATCAATCATCTAAAGATGATATCATGTAGTAGTTCTAAAATGAAAAAATGTACACGCGCAACAGTTGAGGCTAAGATTACCAAAGTTTCACCTCATGGACATGAGAGTCCGAACCCTCTTGTTCTCGGGCCTCTTCATCAAGACAGGGCTCTGAGATGTTGGAGTCTGAAGGGCTGGAGTCTGAGGCGTCTCCATGGTGGTGATGGTAGGGCAAGCTTCTAGTGGCAGAGTGATGGAGGGGCGAGAAGCAGTTGGTGCTGATGATTCCTGTGGCTGTGGGTTGCTGATTTGAAGGTCAGGCGCGGATGAGGAAGAGGTTGCAGATGCCTGAGATGTTTGGATGCGCAAGCGCTTCTTCTCATAAGCCTGTTGAGAATTTCGAAACAAATAATGCTTGATTAATGCTCCACATGCATAGAAGTTGTGCAGAGTTGTATTTATATGTTCATTGAACATTTTTAAGTAGGACTCAGCACAATGAGTATAAAGTAAGGATTCATAAAAGCCAATTCTAAATATTGAATTAATGCTGAGGATGATCAACCCAGATTTCTGATTTAATAATTTCAATTGAAGAACATTTTGAACTTGCAAAAACTCATAAATTGGAACAGTGCATCATTATCGATTCTTAGGTTTCATTACGAGCTAAATACTTGAGAACTAATTAAAACAATAAAAATTCAGAAGCAAATAACACAAGAAGCAAAAAGAAGCAATGGCTCAGTTTTACTATCAGCTTATCATTCATAAAATTTCAGAAGCAGAACTGACTTTAAAAGCTGTATACATTATCATTGCAGCCATGCATTTAATCTTTAAGAAATCAGCTACTAAAAAATAAAAATTAATTAAAACAAATTTTTGTTGCATTTTACACCCTATCGCAATGAACAGAACATGAAAATCAACTGAAAAACAAGAACGGAACAAAATCAGCAATTCATATGCTGTATTTTAATAGGAAAAGGGATCTCATAATCACATTATCTACATCAGGAATGTAGCGAGTTGTTTTAAAGATGAAATTTACTAATCCTAAACTTAAGGTGCATTTTTTTTTTTTTGTTGGTTTTCATACTAAAATAGAATTGGTCCCAGTATCACCTAAACAGAATTAGTATTAATTGAGGGATAGGATACATTCAATGCAGTACATTAATGTAAAAGGTTTAGCCAAACCAATCAGGAGAATAATAAATATATACTATTTGGTTGAAATAACTAATCCATGTCTAAATCGTAGTTGATTTTGAATCATTCACCAGTCAAAAGTAGACTTTGGTCCTTTGCGAAGGCAAGATCCTCTACTTTTTGAAAATTGATTTAGCAATGAAAAAAATAACATTGAAGAATAAATCAATGATTTATACAGCAATTATCAGTGCAAAACAATTTTGCAAAACTTGTAGTGGAACAAGATGTGACAAATGTACCACCTTATAAGAAGCCAACAAAATGCAAACAAAGTTTTTCTTGGCAGCATGACACGAGATGTGGCATCAAAATTACAGTACTTTTAGCTTATTAATTCATGAAGGAAACATTAGCATTGATACACTACCACCAAATTTTCATCATCCAACATGAATCTCGAGACATGATACGAATCTCGAGATGATATTTTAAACAAAAAACATTCAAATCTTGATAAAAAGTCATCCAGAATTCCAATTTTAGCAAACTTATAGTCAAACTAACCTGTTCAATGAGATGAACCTAATGATATGAAAACTAGCACAATCCAAATCAAATCAAGCCCAGATCAAGTCATTAAACCACAATTAGAAGATTTATGGATAAATTTGGAAAGTCAAACGGCTATCAAATATGACAAGTTTATACTCAAATCGAGCCGCTCGACAAAAAAAATTTAAGGAGCCCAAGATCACTCAATTCTGACATCATTAAGGCACAAATGTCCATTAAACGCCGAATGATCGAGGGAAGCTCTCCGGACCGTCCGATCAAAATGGTTCATATTCCTGCATTAATTGCACCCAGAACACTATAAATAGAGCAACATCCCTCTCGTGAGGAGAGGAGGAAGTCTAGAGAGAGCTTGAGATCTTGAGGAGAAGCTGCAGCTCAGCATCATCACCAATCGTTGTGACCACCGCCGACCTCTGTCGTCGACCGCCGCCGACCTCAAAGAACCACCGCCGACCGTCGTCAACCTTCATCTACCGTCATCAATCACCACCAACTGATCACCAACCAGACGCTGTCAGTCGACATTGTAATTTGAAAAATATAGTTACATTTTCCCGTCTGTGAGACAAGGAATTTCTGTAATCATCATTCAATAGTGAATTTTCACAACTAGACCAGACTCCGTGGTTTTTCTATAACGGGTTTTTCACATAAAAACTTCTGAAGTCATCACAACTTATTTTCTCTTTCATCTGTGTGTGTGCTGAACTTTCGTACAACGCTAAGACGATAGCTAGTTACTCTACCGCCACGAATTTTATAGCACGCATAAGCATAAATACCAACTCCAATATTTCAATCATCAGAAAAAAGCATTTAATACAGTAAGTTTTATTCATTAGTTATTTCAACTAATTTGTAGATACACCCAAAAAGAAACAGTCCTCGGCGGAAGAGAAATTTCTACTGCAATTATTCGAACATGAACGAACAAAAAGATAAAGCATCTGGTACAAGAAACAGACAACAATGAAAATAATTTTACCACTTACAATTAGAATGTCTTTAAACTACCAATTAACAGACCAAATTTCTCCCTAATAGACAGAAACCTCTTTTCACGTTATCAAGAAAGAGTACATGAAAATAAAACTAGGGAAACAAACTGGTGAACAGAAGAACCCTAAGTGACCACTGCAATCATAAACCAATCGAAATGGTGAAATAGGGCTGTTGATGTGATGCAAGACGCAAGACGCAAGACGCTTACCTTCACTATTGATGTGATGTCCCGAAGTGGTGTCCGCGGGTACCAATCTGGGAGTAGACTCCTTCCCGGCCTCCGGATCCTAGCCTTCGGCGATCTGCGCCAACCATACGGGATGTTCTCCTTGTTATTCGTTGGAAAAAATTGTTGAATCTTCCCTTGAACAGCCATTTCCGTGGGGGAGCGGTCCGCTCGACGGATCCATCCTGTACCCCCCGCCAACGAGCGGCTCCCTCAACTCCGGCATTTCCTCCTGCGAGAGATCCAAACAGCAGGAGGCTCAAATAGTGGAGAAACCTAGAGTCCATGGAATAAACTAAGCATGGGTATCGAGTTCCTACCGATAAACTGAGGTTGGAAGGCTCTCTGCTCTCGAATGCTCCCGTCTTCGTCTTCTTCTCGGAATGAAGTGAAGGAGAAACTGGAAGCGCTGGGGATTTAAGGAGACGAGGGATTAGGGGCGGGGAGCAGATCTGATTTTGCCATGTGTTCTAGCCGCCATTCTCAAATGTTCAAAATTTCAAGATAATAATTTTTTTTTTCTATGCAATAATTTTGCCCACTCTCATAACATTTCTTTTTTTCAATTCTCAGAAAAATTTTAACATTTTATAAATTTGCCCCTATATTTGATATAGTGTTGTCAATTGAGAAAGGCATGCCTTCCATTCCAACCCTCCAAATTTCAAATAGTTATGGCCTCTAATTAGCTTTGATTAAATAATTTGCAGGTCTATTATTTAAGAGGTTCATCACGATTAGAGTTATAATCGAGCCGAGTATATCATGATTCGGACTTTGCTTGGTATAATTATAAGTTGTTCATGATCAGCTTGAGCTTGCGTCGAGCTTTCATATATTGTTTAAATTTGACTTGCTTAAATTTTTTAATGTTGAACTTGATTTGTATATGATTTGTTTATAACAAGCGAACGAGTACTTAAATGAGTTATAAATGAATAAAATTCAAACTAGTATCTAAATTTTCATATAAAAAAGTTAATAAATAATATTACAAATTTGATGACACTCCATTAAAATTTCTAGAATAATGAAAGTTAACTCGGAAACTATGATAATATCGGATGTAAATGTACACACTCATATTTTAGCATGATCATACTTCCAAGTTTGCACCCAACTCCCTCATTCAAATATAAGTGTTAGTTTTTTCATACTAATATGTGCTTGTCATTTTCTCAACTTGTTACCATGGAGCATAATATCAAATTTTTTAATAAATTAATTGAACAACAAAGTTTGTTTGTGAACATAAATCAACAAGTTCAACTATATTTATGTTTAGTTCTTTTAAGCTCCAAGCTTTTAAGGAGCTTTTAAAAGTTGCTCAAGCTTGTTTATATACTACTTTAAACAAACATGACCGAATCTTAATTGAGTTGAGTTTGGGTTGTTCATCAATAGCATTTCTGTTTCATTTATAGCCCTAATCACAACCCTTTAGATTGTTTTTGAAAGTCAACATGACCATCTTTATTGATATACATGCATATATGTGTGTGTGTGTGTGTGTGTGTGTGTGTGTGCGCTTGCGTGTGAGCGCGCACGCGCTTTATTTCTTACTCCACGTTGAAACTAAGAAGGGTTATCAAAATATCGTGAAAATTTTACTTTCTAAAGAACCATGCAACTTTATGTGGACTTGTTGCTCTAGCTAGCGAATATCTGAAAAAATTCAAGAGATAATTAATATATGTATCATCTACACGAGCATACTATATAATTTCATATAGAGTTAAAGATGACATAGTGAATACTTTAAAAAATGATTATTTCATGATTTATAGAAGCATAATTATTTTCAAACAATCACAACAAATTACAGATGGGGTTTAAAAATTTGTGCAATAATTGAAATAGTAAGATGATCACATTATATTAACATGATCATATGAAATACTACGAGTAAATAGACATATTTTATAAAATATTATTAACAATTAAGCCATAAAATATAATAGTAAGAAATGCACCTCTAATAAGTAATAGTATGTTTATCTTTTACTTGGTAAAAATTCACTAACCTAATTAAAATCATATTGATGAAATCGGACCGCCTAGCACCTCAAGAAAACCAAGAATTGTACTGCCAAATACCTAAAAAAAACCAAGAACGAGACTGCCGAATAGGAAGAAAAAATAAATGCCAAACACCTATTTAACAATAGAAACTCACCACGAGCAACACAAAGAACCAAATGCTAGCTTAAAGAACACATAATAAAAAAACAAGAATGTAACCAAGAATTACGTGGTTCGGTTCATAGGACCTACATCCACGTGAGGGAAATTAATCATCAAATTCACTAAGGCAATAAAGAAAAATTACAAGGCTTTTACATTGATGAATGAGCTCTCATCTTGTCATGATCTCTCTCTCAAATCTCCTCAATACAAGATCTCCAAGATCAAAGAGCTCTTATCTTGTCACGATCTCTCTCTCGAATCACCTTGATAGAAGATCTCCAAGATCTCCCTCTCAATTCTTGAAGCCTCTCATCTTCTTTTTCTAACCAATTGATTTGTTTTCCCTTGGTCACCTCTCTACAAGCCTCCCTCACTATTTATAACAAAGTGAGGCCTCCTAAGTAGACCCAGTTCACCAAATGGAAATTTTTATGAATCTTTAACAGCTTCTATAAAATTACAAGTTTTTCATTGTCTTAGTTAGTCAATTGAGAGTCATTATAACAAATCAAAAGCCATACAATATATAAATCATGACATAGATCTTTTTCAATTCAATATTATATATTAATTATACATAAATAGTACCCATCAAAATTGATGCGTGCAAGAAAATTTGTGGTGGTAGAATAATGGATTATCGTCTTAACGTTGTACGAGAAATCAACACACACTCAAATGAAAGAGAATCAACCAGTGATGACACCACAAGTTTTTATGTGGAAAATCCGTAAAGGGAAAAAAAACACGGAGCCTGACCAAGTTATAAAAATCCACTATAAGTTAATGATTACAGATGCCTCTTGTCCCACAGATGAGAAATGATTATTATATTTTCGCAAAGTACAATGTTGACTGACAACATCTGATCAGCGGTGGTCAACGACAGTTGATGACGGCTCGCGGTGGTCAACGGAGGTCAACGATGATCGGTGATGGTCGACAGCAGTCGACAGTAATCGACGGGGAACAACGGTGGTCGCTGATCGTCAGTGCTGGTCGGTGGTGATTGGCGGTGGTCGACGTCAGTCGATGACGGTCGGCAGTGGTCGACGGGGGTCAGCGGTGATCGGTGGTGGTCAATGGCGGTCTGCGATGACCGAGATGATGTTGAACTTACTCCTTCTCAAAGCCTCAAGTTAAAGCCTCAAGTTTTCTCTCAAGCCTCCCCTCTCATGTGAGGGGTGGGACTCTATTTATAATGTTTTGAGTGCAATTAACGCATGAATATGAAGCATTTTGATCGGACGGTCCAAAGAGCTTCCCACGATAAGATGACATTTGATGGACATTTGAGTGCCTTAACGATGTCAGAATTGAACAATCTCGGACTCGTTGGATTCGTCTTGTCGAGACACTCAATTCAACTATAAACTCGTTGAATTCGACATTCGTTTAACCTTTCAAATGTCTCTGAAAATCTTCTAAGAATGATTTAATAACTTGATCTGGACTTGATTTAACTTGAATTTGACTAATTTTGATATCATTAGGTACGTCTCATAGAGCCGGTCAGTTTGACTATACTGTTGCTAAAATTGTGCTCTAGATGAATTTTTATCAATATTAAAATATTTCATGCTCAAAATATTATCTCGAGATTTGTGTCAGATGATGAAAAATTGTTGGTGGCATATCAAAAATATTAAATAATCGATCAAGCTTTTTAATGATTGATTTTAAGATTTTTTCAATAATAATTTTGTTGAATCCAGATCTATTAGGTAGACCATACCCAAAGAATAAAGCATAAGACCAAAAGAGAAAGACTTCCCTCCTCAAGGGAGAATTGGGGAGGGGGTCTCTGGGCGACCCCTTTTATTTCACAAAGCACGATGTATAAGTGGGGGAGCCTAAAAGGACCCTTTTACATAAAAGAGCCCTCCATTTATAAATGATAGAAGGGTCTAAAAGTAAATTAGAATATTACTCTTGCTTTTAAAGGGTGGTACTCGATATTTTAGTCTTTTATATTTATGCGTTCTGCTAAAAAGTCCTCCGTCGAAGTCTCTTGTCAAAGTGGAAAAGTTCCTTGCCTGATTTCGGTTGGCCAAAGGAGAAAGTTGGTCGGCCGACTAAAACGAGGTGACCGAGAGATCGAGCTTGACCAGTCGACTAAAGTGATGGTCGACTACTATATATATAAATATGTTTATGTGTCCCCTTAATCACAGGAGGATTTACATAGATACCATTCAATTTATATGTATTTACATATCTAACACCTACACTTCAAATTTTACACATATGCCACCTTTTCTATGTATGCTCCTAAACTATTTTAAGTCATGAATGTGTCTCTCTCTCTCTCTCTTGCTCAGTCCCCTCATCTTACTGTCCCAATTAGGACCAACAAAAGGCTATGCTCTGCAAAAGGTGTAAGCTTCCCCCCTTTGTTAAGTACAGCACATGGATGCATTTTCCTAAATGGCAGTGTTAAATAAAAACCTTCACTCGCCTTTTTTGAAGCTTAACAGATCCTTTAGATCTCTTTGCTTTTGTGAACATAGATGAATTTTATCAATCAAATAAAATATTATTTATGTTTTTAATTATTTATTTTATTTGTGAGATTAATTTATCATCTTCATATTTTTACTTCCAAGCATTACATATCACCCAATTCTTATGTATTTACATATCCAATACCTAAACTATACCTTCTACATTTATACAATCCAAATGTTCCATATGACATAAACAACAACACTATTTTAATTTAAAAAAAAAAGCAAATTAAACAAATTTTAAATCAAATTAAGCTAAGCAATGTAAACAAAATATAAAAAAGAGAAATTTACATACATACCGCACAGACCTTACACAATGCATGTCATTTAAATCTTTAACATCACGTCAAAAATATCACTATTACTAACTTTCTAAAAGAGTTGCAGAAGGAAAAAGATTTACAATAAAACTAAATTGAATAACCAAAGCTAATATTCCTCATGATGTCACACATCAAAGAAATGGATCAACTGAATCGGATGCAAGTATGAAATACATATTCAAATGAAATTGTCATTGATTTCTTCACCTCTTTGTCATTGGAGAATATACAAATAGAAGGCCAGAAGCAATTTTTTAGGTGCATTTACATAAATAGCACACAACTCTAATCTATTTACAAATCCCACGCCTTAATCTTCCATATTTACACAGACAAACACTCGAATCTTTAATATCATGTCATAAACAACACTATTACCACCAAAGTGCTATGCATGCAAATATGAAAGTTTAAGAGTGAGATATGTAAATAAATGAGAATTATGTGCTACGTTTGTAAGTTTCCAAAATTTTTACGATAACATGAATAATAAAACAGAAAAATGGCAGAAACAAAAACGGTTTACTGCTTAAGTAGACATACAGCATAAACTCTTGTTTCCTCCTGTTGGCTCTGGAGGAATAGCTATATCCGTTCCTTTAAGAAGGCTTGAGTTTCCACTAGACTCCGACTCATTGGCAACAAGAGCCTTCTTACCAATTATACGGTAAATCTCAGTGAGGACATTAAGGAAGGCAGTTTCAACATTCGTAGATTCGAGAGCCGAAGTTTCCATGAAGAAAAGGTTCTCTCGCTGCGCGAATTCCTTCGCATCCTCGGTGGGAATAGCACGAAGTGTTCTAAGATCAGATTTATTTCCGACCAGCATAACAACGATGTTCTTGTCGGCATGGCCACGGAGTTCGTCCAACCACCTAACTACATGATCAAATGATTGTCGTTTTGTCATGTCGTAAACTAGCATTGCTCCTACAGCTCCTCTGTAGTAAGCACTCGTCACCGCTCGATATCTGATGATCAGTATTCATTCAGAAGAAATAAGAATGGATTCCGTACATCCAAGATGTAGATTTGAGAAGCTATGTAAACCAATACTAACTTTTTTCAAAGTTTATGTATATTAATTTCAATGTTTAAAAAAGAGAGGATTTGCGTGCACACAAATCAATTCCTGTGTATATACATATCTAGGACCTAAACTTCAATAATCTTAAATGACATATTACCAAAGCATGAAATTAAAGATTTATTTCACTTCTGAAAAGTTTAAATAGTTGTATTTTTTGATGAGATATGAAAGATTTTGATGCTATCACCTTCAAAAGCAAGATGGCATGCATGATTTTAGTAGATTTTAAGATTGTTCGACCATTAGTAACATGCATCAAAATTTTCATAATGGATGATTTCAGTTGCTTGAAAAACTGAAACTTTGAAGTCATTTGAATTGAATGAATGGGCTCAAGATAATATCTTGCATGCATTAAATGTCTTAATTGGTGAGATATATAGATTAACCTCAACCGTTAATAAAAATTCTATTTGCTGTTCTAACAAGTATACATTTTTCCATTTTATGATGAATGATTAAATCACGCAGAAAGTAATAGAACTCATCCACATATAATTCTTATATAGTAGATCATAAGACCGTAAGACCATCTTGAGTATAAATCAATGAGGGTGAGCACCACAGAAGGCAATAGGAAATCTGCGAAAAAGCATAAGAATTCAGGCAGATAATTCAATGTTCGCTTCCCTCATACCTACATTTTCTAATACTGCTTTAAGCTTTTTAGATAGCTGCGTTGCAAACCCTGCTAACAGGGGCTCTTCAAGGAGTTGTCAGTATGCAAACAACAAAGGAAGAATAAAGTTCTTGAAAATAAATAGGCACAACAATTATATGATATGAACTAACTGTTAAGGGATTGGTGAAATGCTTGTCCAAAATGAGTAATGTAACATAGAGCAAAGATCTCTTGGAGCCATATCATATAACACATAAAATAAAGTGTGATATTTTTAAAAAAGAATTTATACACATAACACTCAATTCTTTTGTATTTACATGTCTAACACCTATACTTCAATTTTTACATACTTACCTATACATGAAAAGTTGTATTTCACTTTTTCAAAGTTAAAAATGTGGTATTTTTTATGTGATATGAAATATTGGGTGGTAAAAATGTAAAAAGTAAATGAAGGTATTAGATGTGTACATACTTGGTAATTGGGTGGTATGCATATAAATACCCCTATTTTAAATTGTGTGAGACATTAAACATATTGACGTTTGGAGCTTGAAAGAGCACTCACAGCCGCAATGAAGCAACCAAGCACTAAGTGTTTCTGGCGCGGCGCACCCACGCCGGGACGATGCTCGCTCCCGTTCCAACAAACAAAGGATGTGGCGTGTTTTTGCCCACATCGGGCGTGCCCGTGTTGGGGACTGCAGTGCCCCAGCGACCAAGAGTGGCGCAGGTGCGCCAAGTGCATTTCATTCTTCCCTAGCACACGAAATATTTATTCCATGTTTGCGCGTGCCCACGCCTCCGGATGGTTCATCCAGTATAGTTTCTTAAGTTTGCAATTACGATCAATGAGGTACAATTCTCTCACATGCGTTGTTTCGACAAGGTCCCCGTGAAGGAGAGAAGAGTCAAGGAAGAGGATTTTGGCATGCAATTTCTTGTGAGATTGAGAGGAAAATTTGAAGAGAATTCGTGTAAGTTCTATTGATTGTAGAGAGAATATCTGAGTATCTCTATACATTTCTGGTTCTTCATACTAGAAATTTCTTGATGGCGTGATTACATGATTATTTTGCGTTATCGGGTTTTTCCAAATAAATTCTGGTGTGCCTTTTTTTGGGATTGTTTTGTTGGCTTCCGTTCAATTTATTTTGATTTGGATATCTCAAATTTGTCATGATCCTATTCCACGGTGTGATTTTGATTTCTAGATAATCGAAGCCTTAAATATATGATTCCATCCTAACAAAACAATCATAAATTATTTCTTAAAATTCAACAAATTTAAAGAAAATATACTATTATAAAATCAACATCAATATCATAAAAACAGAATATAATCTTGTCTTAGTATATTGAATACATGAACCAAACACCCCTACAAATTCACTAGTATCATATGAATTTCACAATGATATCATATGGGTTGATGACATTGTACAATAGTTGTGTTATAGGAGTTGGACTTCAAGTAGCTGGACTTCAAGTGAAGGCCAATTGGTTGGTGAGAAAAAAGAAACAACATAAGAAAATATTTTCAATGAGCTTGATATGAATATAACTAAGTACCAATTTTTTTCTTGAATAAACCAATTGAATCTATGCCAATCTTATATCTATGACTAAACCTTTAGAGGTTAATTTTCAACCAACCCTTTGGTTAATGCATTCAAAACAGCTTAGCAAAAAATTTGAGATAGACAACAAAAAAGGTAAATCATCAATTAAATATACAAGAGAAGAAAAAGAACCAATAGAGATTAAGCCCTTCAACAATCATGATTAATTAATTAAATATGAGTTTAATTTGTATTAGTCCTTGAAAAGACGGCACAACTTATCTATTATGTCTACTTATATTTACAGTTTAAAAGGTACTACCTAAGTACTCATTTATAGGCCAAAGAGTAGAATAAGATAATGAAGAATGAGGTAACTCGCTTAGCTGGAGGGAAAGCATTGTGAGGTTAATGAATGTTTACATGACTTGGGAAGAAAAAGGAGGATGGGAGGTGGTAGAGGCTTCCAAACTGAACAAAAATTATGTAAGCATGGTAGAGGACGGCACAACTTATCTATTATGTCTAATTATATTTACAGTTTAAAAGGTACTACCTAAGTACTCATTTATAGGCCAAAGAGTAGAATAAGATAATGAAGAATGAGGTAACTCGCTTAGCTGGAGGGAAAGCATTGTGAGGTTAATGAATGTTTACATGACTTGGGAAGAAAAAGGAGGATGGGAGGTGGTAGAGGCTTCCAAACTGAACAAAAATTATGTAAGCATGGTAGAGGCTTCCAAACTGAACTAAGTTCCTAAAAATTATGTTGAAAGCGTTTCATACAGCTCAAGTGACATTCACATGCGTATTCTCCGCAACCAAATGGACTTTACTCCTCCAAAGGTTCATTGGAGACACAATTAAAATTAATATCGTCATAGTTCCATAAGCCCTGATTTGTTTTATTTTTTTTCATGCGTCCCTTCAGGTAAAAATGGTTCATTCTCCAAATGGCTATCATATCAACAAGGAAACAAGTATTAATCAGAAAGATATCTGAGAAAGCCATACGAAATTACATTAGACCTCAAAATCAGTTCAAACTAAAGTGAAGACGCAAATAAATACTCTAATCTTTATCATATATACCATTCAAATATGGCATGTAAGTAAGATGGCACTAGCATTTATATGCTATAGAGAATTCATCGGTTTCAGCACAAATCCTAACATAGTATTCAAAATTCAAAGCACCCAAATCTTCAAATCAACAACTTTCTGAATCTACTTCAAAACCATACGAACTCCTTCTACAACAAATTCATAGTTAGAACAAGCATATTGATGAAATGAACTCAACGATAACAAGAATGTATTAATCTAAGAACAAATAGTCAGTATTGGTAAAAATCTTTCAAAAATATTTGAAGGACCAAACAACCTTTAATTTTTACATGGTTATAATCAAAAGCAGTTTTGACAAGACGAGGCTGATAAGCCTAAGATAACTTCATTCTAATATTATTAACACACTAAGATGCTTGAAAATCTCAAATGATCAATTCAAAAGGGATCATCTTCAATTCTTCGATGGTGTCACACTCCGGGTCTGAAAGGCAGTTCACCCCAGCAATGCAAGGCGTGATGAAATGAATTTGTACGCAAGCGATTTCATTCAGGAAGTCCTAAATCCCCTTATCGAAGAGAAAGAAATTTCGTATCAATAGAATTTGAAATGCCTCCCATCTCTTTCGCGACGTAACCCGTCGTCTCAAGTCCTAGGACTGGATCACTGGAGGAGGTTACCCACACCGTCCTCTCAGGGAACCATATCCTGGCGATCGGGGCAATCACGGGGAGGTACAAGTTCTTAACAGCTAGCACATCCACTGGAAAGACGTTCAGGCAGTTAAGCGCTTGGTCATGAACAAAGTAGTCAGTTTCGCTACAACCAAATCTTGTACGGACTTCTTGAAGCTATAGCTGAGTGAAGGTGAACTGAGCGATACGCTTCCGCCCGCCCAGCTGCCTAATAGTGCGATCTTTAGACAAAGCAAAAGCATCTTGCAAAATTGCAAAAACTTTGCACTCAGGTACGCAGGAGAGTGATGAGCTCTCCGTGAGTTGAATTGATTCCACTCACCCCCCAGCTCCCCTATCTTAGAAAGAGGATAGAATCTTCTTTTGTTCTGACATCAGGCGCGAAGCGAAAGATACAAATTCGTATAGAGTCAGGTTCACCTTGACGATCCTGGTTTTCGTATAGAGTAAGATCAGTCAATTTTGGACATAATCTTTCATTTTTACATACTATATGTACACACAATAAACTTCGGGGATAAAAAAATCCTTTTCTTTACAATTGTATCTACTTTTATATATCTATTGTTATAGGATCTAAGATAGCGCTCTTAGTTCAGCTCGGTAGAACGCGGGTCTCCAAAACCCGATGTCGTAGGTTCAAATCCTACAGAGCGTGATTCCTTTTATGTTCTGTCGAATTCCAATGAAAGAACTTCACAAAACAAAGTCGAATTGCAACTGAAATTTGACCTCCTCCCTCTAAACTACAACCTAGACGTCCATTGATAAGAGGTATGTCTCCCTGTAGGCACTTATCCCAAACTTGACCTAAGGTACTTTTCTAGACTCCGCGGAAACCATGGAAAGCAAACAAGTTGACCAGTTAGACGAGCGGAGGATGAAGTTTGATCATTAGACGATTGAAACGGGTACTACATGAAATCGGTC